CTTTCACAATCTTTATCCGTCTATCCCCTTTTCATTGTCTCTTCCTCGCGCTTCCTTCTTTCCCTCCATTGATATTTTTATAATTAAAATATTACTTCAGGAAGGGTAATAAATGGGAGAGCAAAAAGATAAGTTGAATGTGAAGAGTGAGAGGGTATCGTAGGGGAATGGAGGAGATGCGGAAAGAAAAAAATTTCTTATTATGGAAAGGGTAGGAGAAGAATTTTAGAGAGGGGGTGGATTAAAGATAATTACATTCAATTTCATCGTTCAATTTTGTTATTTTTTATTAATTTCTTATCTAATTATCATTTCGTTTTGTGCTTTTCAATGTCTTTGTTTCATTGTGCTATAAATGATCCAACAAACTGGCAGTTTCTTGTTTTGAGATTATCCAAATGCATATGCAATTTAGAGAGTTAAAGATTTTTTACATGAAAATTTTATAAAAAAATCTATAGGGTCGTATATATTCATGTAGGTATTTAGTATGTACTTAATAGATTCTAGTTAAAGAACTCACTTAAGCCATCAAACTACCATAGACGTCCCTCGATCCAGTTATAGGAACTATAAAGCTCAGAGTTTCAAGACTAAGACCCTTCGGACTCAGCTAATCCTTAGCTCATGGTCATCACCTCCCGAAGGGAACAACTCTTCACACCCAAAGGTTTATGCATCTAGAGGACTTGCTCACACGCACTCTTCCCGCATGCCATATCTCGAGGTCTCGACCAGAACATTCGTCCATGAAGACTCACCTCGGAACAGTGGGCCATTTTAGAAGCAAAGAGCCATATGAAAACCTATTAGTCAAGCCATGCGTTAGTTACAGTCTATAATAAGTCACATTGAGCATTGTATATGAACTATTTTTCTTCTTGAGAATAATGTATTTAGTTAAACTTCACATGTGGTGGTGAAGCTTAGTGTCCATCTGATGTTAGGTGATTTTTTGTGCCAAAAAAAGTGCATGCTAAAGCAGTTAAGGCTAACAGGTGCTTCTCATTGGCAAAGACTGTCCAATGGTTGATTCACTAGTCTTTTGGCAATCAATGCAATTCTTCTGCCCCTCCTCATGAGTCTAGAAACCCTCACAAGTAAGGTGACTAGATCAATCAAAGGTGAGTCGATAAAGGTTAATTTGTTTTTTTTATGAGCTGTTTTGCCCCTTTCAACCTTGATTTGGTTAGTCCAAGAACGCAAGGGTCCTTTCTTGATCTTTAAAAGTATGTTTGAGAGTCAATTGAACTAGTTTGGGTATGTTCATGACCAAGTTTAATCAAATTGAGCCTAATTAAACTCGAGTTTAGTTTTTTGTGGATGCCTTTGTTTTAGTGTTTTATGTTGATTAGGATATTTTACGACTACATCAAGTATATTTTGTCACCCTATAATGCTTTAGTTTTATGAAAATACTAATATATAGAAACATCTACTACTTATTATGATTTTTTTTTTAATTTATTTCTCTTGTTTCTACTTAGGCTGTTGCGTAAATTTTAATTCGAAATTTCCATGCACAATCTCTTTAAACAACTTCTCGAAGTGTTGCTATATTTGTGTTTCTTTTATACCAAGCCTTGTGTCTCATGCCAGGTTTTTTTGTATTTTCATGCTACTAGGGCTGCAAATGAACCAAGTATTCAACAAGTTACTGTGACTTGGCTCGAAAGGATCTCGTTCATTTTCATCAGATTAACTAATTGTACAAGCTTGAATATTTTTATAAATACTAGATTATTAAATAAACAAACTTGAACATCCTATTTGTTGATTCGTTTATGATCTTAAACAATATCTTTTAATGCTCGTGAACAAATTTTTTGTGAAGCTTGATTAAGGCTCAGCAGAAAGCTCAATTATTTAAATATATATATATATATATTATAAATAATTAGAGAGAAAGAGAGGGTGAGAGACAGAGCAAGCGAGAGAGAGGGGGTGAGAGAGAGAGAGAGAGCTGAACTTTTTTTAGAGCTAAACTTGAGAGAGAGAGAGAGAGGGAGAGCAAGAGAGAGATAGAGAGAGAGATGGAGATGGAGATTTAGATAGAGAGAGAGAGTGAGAGAGAGATGGAGAGAGAGAGAAAGAGAGAGAGAGAGAGAGAAAGAGGAAGATAGCAAGAGACAGAGAGTGAGAGAGAGAGAGACCTAGCAAGAGAGAGAGAGAGAGCTAGCAAGAGAAAGAGAAAGAGCTAGCAATAGAGAGAGAAAGAGAGAGAGAGTAAGAGAGAAATTAAGAGAGAGAGAGAGAGAAAAAGAGAGAAAGTAAGAGAGAGAGAGAGAAAGAGATACATAGAGGGAGAGCAAGAGAGAGATAGAGTGAGAGAGAGAGCAAGAGTTAGAGAGAGAGAGGGAAAGGAAGAGCGAGAAAGTAAGAGGGAGAGAGTGAGTTAGTGAGAGAGAGAAAGAGAGACATGGAGGGAGAGCAAGAGATAGATAGATAGAGAGAGAGAGAGAAAGAGAAAGAGAGTGAGAGGAAGAGCAAGAGCGAGAGCGAGAGAGAGAGAGAGAGAGGAGCAAGAGCGAGCGAGAGAGAGAGAGAGAGAGAGAGAGAGAGAGAGAGAGAGAGAGAGAGAGAGAGAGAGAGCTAGAGAGAGTGAGTGAGAGAGAGAGAGAGAGAGCAAGAGAGAGATAGTAAGAGAGAGGAGAGAGAGAGAGAGAGAGAGAGAGAGAGAGAGCTGAACATTAAGAGAGAGAGTGAGAGCTGAACATTAAGAGAGAGAGAGGGAAAGAGAGAGAAAGAGAGAGAGCAAGAGCGATAGAGATAGAGAGAGAGGGAGAGAGATAATAAGAGAGACAGAGAGAGAGCTAGCAAGAGAGAGAGAGATAGCAAGAGAGGTAGAGAGAGACAAAGAGAGCTAGCAAGGTAGAGAGAGAGGGGTAGAGAGATAGAGAGAGGTAGGGATTTAGAGAGAGAGAAAGAGAGGGTGAGAGAGAGAGAAAGAGAGGGTGAGAGAGAGAGGTTGATAGAGAGAGAGAGCAAGAGAGAGCTGAACTTTTTTTTAGAGCTGAACTTGAGAGAGAGAGAGAGAGAGAGAGAGAGAGAGAGAGAGTAAGAGAGAGAGAGAGATGGAGATCAAGATTTAGATAGAGAGAGATATGGAGAGAGAGAGAGGGAGAGAGAGAGAGCGAGAGAGAGAGAGAGGTAGTAAGAGAGAGCAGAGGGGGTAGAGAGAGAGAGAGAGAGAAAGAGCAAGAGCAACAGAGAGAGAGAAAGTGAGAGTGCTAGTAAGAGAGAGAGAGAGAGAGAGCTGAACTTTGCATATGCATTCCTTAAAAAACCATTACAACTGCAATAAGTAAAAGAGGGTTATAAGAAACCCCTAAGCAAAAGAAAAAGAGCAACTATCATCCTCAAGAATCTTAAGGAATTCTTGAGGAATGGTACAATTAAAGTTATCTCCTATATCCCACACAAATGTATCCTCTATAGCTCTTTGAGCACAAAAATGTGCAGCTCTGTTAAACTTCCTAAGAGTATGAACAAATAAAATTTGCTGGAATGATTTCATCCAATCTCTCTCTCTCTCTCTCTCTCTCTCTCTCTCTCTCTCTCTCTCTCGCTCTCGAGAAACCAAAGGGAAAAAATCGTGTGACGTTGATCGGAGGGGCTTCTCTCTTGGATCGGAGATCTCGTCGCCGGGATTGGACGGTACTTTCGCGTGGGTTATGGTGGGGGGTGACCGGAGGTCACCCCCTCGTCACCCTTCGGCGAGGAGCGGTGGAGGTAAGGATGTTCGAGGAGGGAAGAGATCTGGTGGTGGATCTGGTCGGAGAGATGATGTGAAGATTGTGGCGGGGGGACTGCTGTTGGAGCTAAGGTTGGTAGTAGCGGTGGAGAGGGTAGTGAAAGGAGGTTTTCTTTGCCTGGTCTGGGAGGTATTGCGGACCTTGGAGCTGGAGGAGATAGACTGGTTGTCGCTCGTCCTCCAAGTAGGGCTGGATCTTCGAGATCTGGTGGTTTTGAAGAAGCTAGGGATGCTGGGTTGGATCTAGCATCCTCTAAGGAGCTGGAGATGGAATCGTTATCTGGTGAACACGATATGGCTAAGAGGATTATGTTAATGCAGCGATCTTCTGATCAGGATGAGGTGATGGAAATCCTTGGGGGCTTTGAGGCTGAGGATTTCATTAATGAAGTTGCAGCTAGTATGGGATATGTGGATCAGTTAGAAAAGAACAGGGTTGAGGCGGATTCTGTTTTTAATGGTGACTATGTGGAGAATGTGGAACAAGACGGAATGTTGGAGTCCGAGGAGATTATGCGGGAGGTGGTTAATTGCATTGGGAATGCTCGATCTACTGATGGAAATTTGGTTGCTGTTGGCCAAATTAGTCAAGGTGATATGGCTATTGATCCACAGCAGGTTGGTGAGTTGGAATCTGAGGAGAGGATTTTGCTTTTTGCTGTGGAACCAATTGAAGTAAGTAAAATGTTGGATAATCCTATTTTTGAACATGAGAAACCGTTATTTACGTTTGGGTGTTTGAGTCGTATTGGAGACCTTGGTAAAGTGTCTTTGGCTCGAGATGCTGATGAAGATGTATTAAAAGTCGAACGGGATAATCATAGTCTGAATTTCGGTGTTCTGGGTAAGTTACCTGAGGTGAAGGGTGTTCAGCCGGTTAGAGGCGATATTGCTGGTCTTGAATGTAATAACAACCTTAATTATGCAGGATGCACTTTAGGTGTTTGTGGAAATGGTCAGACTGAAGAGTTTCCTTCAATCCAAACTTGGCAAACTCCGGCTGTTGTTAAGACAGTTAAGAAAGAATTTGTGGAAATGGAAAATGCAAGGAACGCATGGAAGAAATCTCCTGCTGTCAAATTAAATTTGAATGAGGAGGTAAACAGTTTTTTGCGGGAAGATGGATCAGTTAAATTGGACTTGAACACTGGTTGGCAGCCTTTTAGGATGACGTCTTCCTTTTTGGGTTGTACAAAATGAATTGCAAAGGAAGTGGGGTCATCTTGGATTGACTCAGATTACGCCAATGGGTTCTGACTGCTTTCTCTGTTGGTTTGTAAACATGGAAGCAAGGGATAATGTTCTAATTGGTGGTCCATGGTATGTGGCTGGTCAGATCATTGGAGTGGAGAGGCTTCCAAATTTACCATTAGAATATTGGGATGAAGCTAATTTGGCTAGGTTGGCTAGGGGCATTGGGGAACCATTACTAATGGATGAGCAAACTAAACTTTGGAATAGATGTGCTTTTGCGCGTATCTGCATTAGATTGGATCTATCTAAGAGATTACCAAAGGAAATTTGGGCTCATGGTTTGGAAGGTGCTTTCTTCCAACCCATTGAATATGAATGCATTCCTCTAATCTGTTTAAAATGTGGAAGGGTTGGCCATAAAGCTGAATTGTGTAAGGAGATGTGTATTCCACCTAAGCAGCAGGGCTCAAAGATTGGTGATTCACAGAAACTGGGAGGTACTGAGGCAGCTGGATCGGGATTGAAGCATGAACCTGCTTGTGATGGTAAGGGGGGAGTTTCAAACTCTGTAGCTGTAGATGCGGATCATGGGGAATGGACTATTGTCACTAGGAGGAAGAGATCTGTTAATAATACTAGATCGAAACCTCAATCTGTTAGTAGCAAGCAGACTAATCCTTCTACTAAATCTGTTTGGAGAGAGGTTAATAAGATGTAGAAGGAGACTGGTGGTCAAGATTTGGGAGTGAAGTTGAAAGATAAGGTACAGAAGGAATCAAATGGCATGGATTATACTCAATACCGGAATGTTATTGAGGATGGCTCGGTACAGAATGAATCAATTAATATGGAACGTCCACAATTTCATAAAGTTAATATGGAAATTTCGGTTCAGAATAATACTTGTAGCATGGAACAAATTCAATTTCAGAATGTTACAATGGATGGGTTTGGGGAGTTCACGGCTGGTGCAATGAAAGGAATTTGTGGTGCACATCATGGCAGGGAAATTAAGGTTTCACCTGCTCAAATGCTAATTCCTAAGGTGCTGAAGTTCTCGGATTCCAAATCTGGAGTATTGAAAGGAAAAAACAAGATGGTTAGGGGTTCTAAAAAGCGGCATACTAAGGAAATGACACAGTTTGGTCCTCTTCAGAAGTTGCCGGGTATCAGGAGGAATAAGTTGAAGGAGCAAGCTATTCCTTCCAGTGAGCATTTTGTTAATGTAGTTGATAAGTCTGTGGACGGTAAATTTTAAGAGGAATTTGATGGACAGTGGCAAGGGGTATATTCTGAATTTTTTGGTGGCGGGGATGCTTCCCCTTTGGTGGATCATGTTTAACATCCTATGCTGGAACTGTAGAGGTGCTCGTAAGAGGAAGTCGGGCAATTACTTACGACACCTAATTGGGGAGTATGATGTCAGTTTCATTGGTTTGTTGGAGACGAAGATGGAGTCTTTTAGCAGAAAAGAGGTTGATAAAATTGTAGGTAAAGACTGGGAGTTTGTTTTTGAACCTGCTATTGGTAATGCTGGTGGCATTTTAATTCTATGGAAAAATGCTGTTATCTCCTTTCATACTTCCTTTAAAACTAATCAGTGTATCATGGGGAAGATCAGTGGTGTTAATGCTTTGTTTATGGAGGTGGCTGTTGTCTATGCTAATAAAGACAGATATATAAGGAGCCAAGTTTGGGAAGATATTTCCAAAACTCATAATTTGGATGCTCCCTTGTTAGTTGGGGGTGATTTCAATTGCATTATGTCACAGGAGGATAAGAAGAGTGGAAAAGCTTTTCATTTCTCTGGGGCTGCAGGTGATATGGGTGATTTCATGGCTGCTAATGACTTGGTTGATCCAGGTTTTTCTGGTCCAGCTTTCACATGGACCAATAACAAGGATGCGAGGAGCAGGATTTTTTCAAGATTGGATCGGTTTCTTATTAGTTCTTCTATTTTGGATTCTTTTCAAGGCTTAAAGGTACGACACCTTACTAGACTTGCTTCTGATCATTTCCCAATTTTATGTTCCTTTCAAAGTGAAGTGAGGAGATCCTATTCTCATTGGATAAAATTTGAAGATGTGTGGGCTAGCTTTCCTAAAGCTTGGTAACTGGTTTGGGATAAATGGAGAGTGGATGATGAGGGAAATGAGGCTAGCAAGCTAAATAAGAAGTGTCAAAGAACTTTGAAAGCTCTATTTTTTTGGAGTAAAAACAAAGTTAAAATGTTAAATCAATTGAAGGAGGAGCTTGACAAGGAGATTAAAGTACTGCAGGAATTAGAATATTTGCTGAGTGGTTTGACTGTTGTTCAAGAAGAAGCTTTGAAGTATAAAGTTCAATTATTAAACAGTACTTTGGATCGTTTAATGTTGTGGTGGAAGCAACGAGCAAAAGTTAGATGGATTGAAAAGAGAGATGGGAACATCGTTTCTTCCATTCTATGGCTTCGGCTAGGAGGAGGACCAATGGTATTGACTCTTTGAAACTTTCTGATGGGAATGTGGTTTCTGAGCAAAGTGAGATTTTGAATGGTATGCATGAGTTCTTTGAACAGAAATGGAAGGGACAAGGTATTATTGAGCATGGATGGCCTTCCTTTGAGATGCAAAGGGATTACTTGTCACAATTCTCTGGAATTCTGGATAGTGAAATCACCAAAGAGGAAATATGGGATGTTGTGAATTCTTTTGGCCGAAATATAGCTCCAGGTAGAGATGGGATTACAACATCTTTTTTCAAGTTTTTTTGGGAGATTGTTGGGGAACAAGTGGTAAGTGCTAGCTTGGAATTCTTTGCTGGTGGGGTTATGGAACCAAGTTGGAAGGAAACAGTTCTTGTGTTGATTCCAAAAGTTATGAATCCAGATCATCCTTCCAAATTCAGGCCTATTAGCCTTTGCCAGACAATCTACAAGATTGTAGCAAAGGTTTTAGTCAACAGATTGAAAGGAGTTTTGCCACGGCTTGTGTCTGAGGAACATGCAGCATTTGTACCTGGTCGATCAATCTCTAATCATTGTTTATTGGCTCAAGAATTGTTAAACAGATTCAAAGCCTCTAAATCAACTTTGGGTCTCTTAGCTTTGAAGGTAGACATGGAGCAAGCATATGACAAAATGAGTTGGAGGACGTTGGAACTTGTTCTTAGACAGATGGGTTTCCCACCTAGATTCAGCTCTTGGTTGCTTAGTTGTGTTAAAGATCCAAAGTTCACAATCCTGATTAATGGACAACTTACAGAAGGTATTAAAGCTGATTGTGGATTTCGTCAAGGGTGCCCTTTGTCACCTTATTTGTTCATTCTATGTTCGGAGCTCCTATCTGCCAATATTCATCAGAACTACAAGGAGTTGGGTGTTCCAATCTGTGGTGGGGGACCTCCTATCTCCCATCTTCTTTATGCTGATGATATTTTGCTTTTTGCAGGTACCACTATTCCTAATGTAAGGAAGATCTCTTCTATTTTGGAGGAGTATTGTTCTTGGACGGGCCAAAGAGTCAACAAAAGTAAATCTGCTATTCTCTTTAGCAAAAGGACTTCTTCTTCTACTAGATCTCGGCTTGCCAAGTTGACTGGTTGTAGAAAAGTTGAAGAGATGGATTATCTTGGAATCAAGTTAGCAGTGAGAAGACTGGTTAAGAAGGACTTTGGTGCTTGGTTGCAGCATGCTCGTGCCAAGACGTTGTTATGGGGAGTCAGACATCTATCTTTGGCAGGTAGAGTAACTTTGATCAATGCTGTCTTGCTTCCTTCATCTGTGTACATGGTGACTCATATGTTAGTCCCAAAATTTGTGCTAAATGAGATTGAGAAGATCTGTAGAAGTTTTTTATGGGATTTTGATGCTTCTCATAGAAGCATACATTATGCTTCTTGGGAAAATATTACCAAACCAAGAAGAAAAGGGGGCCTTGGTTTTCATGCGAGTGTGGATTGGATTGGACCTCTCAGGTTACGGATTGCTTGGGATGTCATTAGCAAACCGACAGAGCTCTTTCAGAGATGCATGATCCATAAGTATGGGAAGTGGCCGTTGAGTGTTGGATTTAAACGTGGTGACTCAGGTGTATGGAAGCTGATATGTGATGGAGCCAACAGTCTTAGCAGCTGTGTTCGTTGGAAGATTTGCAATGGTAGGAATACTGAGGTCCTGAATCATATCTGGATCCGGGATTTGGCTCTCTCGGTTTGGCTTACATTTTGTGATGTTGTAGCTATTGAAGACATGATGGTAGCAGACCTCCTTACCGCGGCTGGAACTTGGAATAGGCAAAGATTGTTGGCATGTTTTGGAGCACAGTTAGCTGATAGGATTTCAGATATTACTATCTGGAATGATATTGATGCAGATTCCTTGGAGCTGATTAAAATTCCTCTTGGCTCCTCAATTTCAGCAAATGTTTACAACCGGAAGTTCCAGGAGGATGATGATGTAAGTTTTTCATGTTTGAAAATGGGTTTGAGGCCTCGAGAATGGATGTTTTGGTGGAGGATCTTCAAGGATATCATTCCAACAAAAAATTGTTGGCTACTGTCTCGTGGGTTTGAGGTAAATATTGAATGTCCAATTGGCTGTGGAGTATTGGAAGATAGGGATCATGTTACAACCAGCTGTCAGCAGCTTTTGGAGGTTTTAAATGTGCTGGATGGTTGGGGATGGGTTACTCCACGGTTTTCTTCATTTCTGGAACTTCAATTGGCATTGGAGAAAAATGTGAAAATCAAAGATATGAGGTTGCTTGTGTACTGTCTTGCGGTTTTTCACTGTTGGATGAATAGAAATACTATCAAACATGCTAAGGGAAGATGTTCGTTCATGGCTGCGAGTATTCTGGAAGTTTTCAATCAAAGTTCTTTTTCCTTTACACTTGGAGCAATGGGGCACTCATCAATCCTTTGGATTGTCTTTAGCTCATCCTTGGTGTCCTCCCCCTTCAGGTTGGTTAAAGGTGAACGTTGACGGTGCTCTTCTTAGATCCAATGCAGCAAGAGTTAGGATTGTTATTCGAGATAGCTTGGGTAAGTTGATTGTTGCTGCAGGTTGGAGTATTTATCATTGGGATAGTACTCAAGTTGAAATGTTGGAAATCAACTACATCGATAAAGTACTAGTGGAGTGGATGTATGAGCTCAAAGGCATTATTGTGGAAGGTGATAATGCCTTTGTAATTAATTATATGTAGAAGTTTAAGGCTAAGGATCTGTGGAAGCATCAGCTTGGAAATTGAGAGAGAGAGAGAGAGAGAGAGAGAGAGAGAGAGAGAAAAAGTGAGAGAGCTAGCAAGAGAGAGAGAGAGAGTGTGTGTGTGTGTGTGAGAGAGAGAGCTGAACATTAAGAGGAGAGAGCAAGAGAGAGAGAGAGAGGAAGAGAGAGGGAAAGAGAGAGAAACAGAGAGAGAGGGAGAGAGAGAGAGAGATGAAGGAAGAGCAAGATAGAGAGAGAGAGGGCGGGAGAGAGAGCTAGCAAGAGAGAGAGAGAGAGAGAGAGAGTAAAAGAGACTTATAACCCTTTAATTAAATTATTTATAACTCATGTAACACTTTAATTAAGTTATCGGTAAGAAACTTATAACCCAATGTAAAATTATAAATAAAAAATATAGTTAATTCAAATAAAATATAATTTAAACTTATTTTAAAATTAAATTTTTTTAATCTAAAAAATGTAAAATATTAAGTGTTATCAACTAAATAATCAAATATATAGTATAT